TGCTGTGAGTCTGGAGTCACATGTAGGCCAGACCAGGTAAGGATGGCAGTTTCTTTCCCTAAAGGATATTAGTGAACTAAATGGGTTTTTCCTGACAATCAACAATGGATTCACAGTCATCATTAGACAGTTAATTCCAGATTTTTTTTATTGAATTCAAATTCTGCCATCTGCCATGGCGGGATTTGAACCTGGATCCCCAGAACGGTATCTGGGTCTCTGGATTAACAATCCAGCAATAATATCACTAGGTCCCAACTCATACTTAGCCTCCTCTGGCCCCAGCAACCTCCAAAGCTGTAACCCCTTAGTACCACCAAATACCTTCTCACTGCTTCTCAAATCACAGGCTGTTGCTCTCCCATCTTTGCTGTTGTTATCATAGAAGAGAGGCAGCCTGTGATCGGAGAAGTACCTACTCAAGATTCTGACAGTTCCATGGACAGTACAGAGACGAGCATTCTCCAATTAATAGGCTTTAATTAATTACGAATGTCTGACTTATAAATGCTGATACTTAGGAGCAAGATCTTATAAAGGGGTGTAATTTTAAACTTCCAACTTCCAATCATTTTGTGTACTTACAAAAGGTTCCTTTGTATTGTCTTGCATTGTGTTCCAACTTGCATAAAAATCAACTTGTGAGCAGACTCCAGAACTGAACCTGTTTGCAATTCGGGGACTGTCTGTATCATGATTGAATTTTCCCTGGCATTTTGGGATGCATTTGCCCTCTATCTCTATAAGTTTTGAGCATTGCTACTTGGTGAATGAGCCGGGATCTCTAGAACGTGGTTCCTCCCGATTAGTACCATCTGCTCTTCCCTGTCTTCAGTGCTCTGCATAGATGATATATCTGGAATAAGAACCTAGCTCAATAATGGTGACCATGAAACTATTTGGTTCATTTATGTCCTTCGAGGAAAAAAAAATCAAGTTTCCTTACCCAGTTGAGTTTTAACTGACCTCTGAGGCAAGGATGTTTCTTTATTGTAGAACAAAAAGTGTGTGTTTTTGAATTCAGTCTATTGAATGTTCATGTTAGTGTCCAGTGCTGTACCATTACTCTTTGGGGGCTTGACCAAAATTGCAGGCTCAGCACACTCTCCCTTGTATGCACTGTAAAGGGCACAGCCTGCAATCACTCTCAACAGAGATAATTAAGTTATTGTTGGTGAACTCTGTGAGGACTCTGTCACATGTGGACAATATTGACACTGCTGTTTGTGCCAGTTATTTTCTTACTTTGACTGACTGTGTTCCATCAACCCACCACCACACCCAGATGCCAAACTCTTCCCTCTTCCACTGTCCATTCTTCCATTTCCCCAACTCCACTTCACAATCACCTCCCTTACTACTAACTCACTCTTGCCAGTCCTGACCCTCCAGGCGAGTTGCTTTTCTCTGTTCCCCTCCCTTGTGCTGCAGAGTTCAGCAAGAAAACCTGCTTACCTCAGACACAACTGCACAAAGGCGACAGTTAAATCACCTTTAAATGGACCTGAAATGGGTCCCATAAGATTCTTGCATAGCAATAACTTTATCTTGAAGGTCAGACACAAGTTTAAAAAGTTTTACATGAATTTGTATCTATGGCAAGCAAATATATCACAAGTGGGAAACTGCTACAGGCTGGCATGAGGCCTCACTTGACACAAACACATCGTTATCTTAATCTGTGCATCTCTTCCTTCCTAATTCAGTCACCCTTCACACCACACTTCCCACTCTTGCAGGCTCAATTAAATGACCCTCACTGGTTGAATTGGATTTAGTACTTTGTATACATTTATTTCTTACAAGAATGATTCGCAACACAAGTAAATCATTTTCTTGCTATGATCGTACAAAACATTACATTAGGAAGATAAAGCATACAGACAAGAGAATTGCATTTGTTACACCTTTAATGACAGAAAATATTCCAAGGCGTTTTATAGAAAGAGAAAAGAGTGAGAAAAGAATAATGATCTTAAATTGAGAAAATAAATGTGGGAACATGGTGAAATTGGTTTTCCAAGGATCTTTAAAGGTCAGAGAGAAGGTAGACAAGTTTCAGAGAATAGGGTCTTGGGAGCTGAAAGCTCTGTCATGGATGGTGGTATGGAGGAGGAAGGTTAGGGAAATATACAAGAAGTTTGAGACAAATGAGCCATGAGACTGTGTTGACACAGAAAGGTAGAGGAGCCAGAAGGGTCAAATTTATTGGTTCTTGAGGATTTGTAAATGAGAAATGAAGATTTTGAAATTTTTAATCCTACACATGGAGTATTAATTTCAGTACTTGCAGCGATTTTGATTATTTTCTGTTAAGTTAGAATATTGTTACTTTTCCAGAAATGCCAATTTTTTGTGCTTATAATAACAATTACACTTATTAAAGCACTTCACCTTCCCCATTGTAATATATTCTAAGGTGCCTCACAGCAATGTGACAGTGCACTAGATACATTGGTATTTGGAGAAGAACCAAAACAATTGATAAAGAGGTAGGCTTTAAGGAAACTCTTAAAGATGAGGAACAGATAGAGACGAAGAAATCACTATTGTTAAAGTAATATAGTAAAATGTACATTAGCTGCTTGCATACTACTCTAACACTACATTTCCTGATTTTAAGAAATTTCAGTTTTATGGGTCAACTTCAAGAACAGTATTAATTAGTCCCTCTCCATGTATACTATATCATTGATACATTCTCCAATACATAGCTGTCAAGATAGATATTAAAATACAGAAATATAATTGAATGGAGTCATCAGAACTACTGTGCAAGGCAGAGGCTTCGGGTCTCATGTGAATGCTGTCTGTGATTGAACTGCTTTTCAGAAAGTGGTCACTTCAGTAAGAGGCTCCATTTTCCATCTTGACGGGAGATTATGGAAAGATGCACTATTCACCTGCAATTCTGGTAATGTCCAAAGCTGTAAACAAATGCATCAGTTGGATTAGAAACTTCACTGCTCTGAATCTCCACATTTACCATTTAGACAGTACATTCCTAATCTCTGGTTTGGCACGAGGAACGAATGAAGCAGGAAAGTTGGTTTTTAGGTATATTTTGTTTTATGTATGAATGAATAGATTTGATGCAGCGGACAAACTGCTAGTGGGTGTCAGGTTATGACAACAATTTTCATTTTAAAGTATTGCCTGGATAATTTCAAAGGACTGTGTAAAATCCAATTTAATTGTTATGTTGTCAACCATGTAGGATTGTTTTGAATACTTAGGAATTAAAGATGAATCTCCAGGACAAATTGTTCATCTACATTTTAAAAATAATGCTATTGTTAGTATGAGATAGTAACAACTGCAGATTCTGGATTCAGAGATAACACAGTGTGGAGCAGGAGGAACACAGC